ATATATATATATATATATATATATGTATGTATAGGTGCACGTGTGTGTAAAATACATAACCATATATAAAGAAATTAAATGCCCCAGGACCATGATAGACACACGGCCGCTTTCAACTCTGCACAGCACTGTACAAACTTCAGGTACCCAGGCTCAAGCCCAGAGCTAAGGTGTCAGAATTTTTTGCCGCGGGGACCAGGTGTGGGCCCAAGTCCCTCCTATAAGTGACAGCCCTGGTGACCTACTGGCCTAGTTTCTAAAGACACTCACTCCTTCCTGCTTCAACAGCCATACCCTAGAGCCCACTATCACTATAGAAATTGTTTCAGTAATATACAAATTTGGAAACTTATCTGTTTATATTAAATGTCAAAATAGTTTTTAAAATGACTTTTAATGATGTATGGAATTGTTTCAACTTTTAAAATAAGCCCATTTGCTTTTGACAAATTTTATACATTTGTTTATCACCAAATCCAAGCCTATTCACAAACGCCATGTAGGTGCTTATCAATATCATATCACACTGTGCAGATATACAGAGGATTCTCAAAGATTATACATAATTATATACGCTGATTGCACATTCTATACTGCCACATGATCTTTAATAACCTAAAAAGTCCAAAGGAGTAAAGACAGAGACAGCAAGAGACAAGACCTAACTGAAGCCAATCAGAAAACAGCACTTACGTGGCCTTCTGCTCTGGGGGGCTGGAGAATGAATGGACAGAGAGGGTGTGCCTTGACTCAGGTGGTGATGGCTGGGGCATTTTGTCAGGACAAGGACCAGGGGACACAATGTGTGACCTACCTAGACCTAAAGGACAGAAGGAATGAGGGTAAGGATATTATGAACTGCATAGAAAAGATACTAATCTGGTTTTGAAAAAGAAAAAATACATTTTTTTATCCTTGTGAACAGCCCAACATGATGTCTACAATTCAGAGCTCATTAAGCTCCAGAGCTAACACTAACATGTACAGCAATAACCAGCAGCAAGGCCGTGGGGCTCCCGCGCCACCTCTGCATGCTAAGCAAACGTAAGCCCTTGACAGTCTCTAGGCCACTGACTCCAGAGCAACCGTGTGACACGGAGTGATGCCCCTGCTGGCCCAGAGATGGCAGGTTCAGAGGTCCTATGAACTGCCAGGGTCCCACAGCCCTCTAGACATGGCTCACCTTCTAGATACAGCCCATTCTCAAGGCTTCTTCTGGCTTTGGGAAGTGGCGTGGAGGACAGGCGTCGAGAGGAAGTGCTTCTTCCAGAATGTGAAGTCGGGCTGCCCAGCGTGACTTCCACAACAGCATCACTCTTCTCATTAAGTGTACACACCTGGGGCTGCTCAGAGACAATTCTATCCTCTGTAAAAATGTGCCTTCCCAAGTCAGTGGAACTGCTACTTTTGAAAGCTCCAAGCAAGTGTAGAGATGGTGGGTTCTTTGCCAGGGGTGGGCTTTTAGCAGGGATACGAGTAACTCTCTGATGGTAAAATTTGAAAGCCTTTTCCAAGCATTCAGCCTCTTGCTCTAGCTCTCTCACCTTCACCTTAGTATTGGCTATAATCTCAAGGTCAGAGTCTGGGGAGCTTCCCTCCCTTCCTGCATTCGGGTAACCTGGGATCTTTGGCATAATTTCCTGTCCAGGGGAACTGTTCAGGACACCCCTGATTCCATCTCCGGTGTGAGGCTCCGGCGGTCCACTCAGCAAGCTATTCACACATTGATGGCTCAGAGACTGCTTGGGGTTGCGGTACACTTCATTCTCCAGGGCTGCAGGTTACAAAAAGACAATGTGACAAATAAGGAGAAAAGGTGGTGAAGAAAACTTAAAACTTGAGAATATTTTTTTGAAATGAAAGGAGGAAAAACTTGCACATTAAACAGGTTCTGAAGCCACAGTAAATACTATTAACATTTGCAGAGAACTTGTCTGCATCAACTACAGTTTCAGACATGACTTCTTTTATGATACATGATACAATTTCACAATTCAATACATGTGATTCTGAAATTCCAAAAGCTGTAAGTGAACATTTACTTAGTGCTGGCAAAGTCTAACGAGATTTGAACTCATTTGGTTGAAAAGCTTGACCCAAACTGATATAAACCCATTTATAATCACTGATTATCCCAACCAGTACGACTATTCATACATTTGATTGTAAAGTGATTAATGAACGGGTTTCCTTCACAGCAACACTGAAGCCAGGACTCTCTCACTGCTCCCATTTTACAGATGGTGATAGTGGTGTACTGAGGCAGGGCCATGTGGCTAGTGGGTCCTACAGCTGCTGGGATCTCCCCTACAAAGGCAGTGCCCAGTCAGCTCTGCCTGCCATGCTGCTACACAATAAAAGCAGAAACCACCGAGTTCTGTCTCACAGAATTGTCATGATATGAGAGTGCTATGATTTCAGTTGTGGACAGTCTGGCAATCAGAAGCACGGAGAGAAAATGAGGAATGGGAAAGAACAGAAATAAGGAGATAAAATAAAACTAGTGCAGGGCAACGGAACAAGGGGCCGAGGAGGAAAAAGTACAAGTGGGAACCAAAGCAGGCTCACTGAAAGCAACTGAAAACGAAGTATTTAAGCTTCCATATGCTTCTTATGAAGCAGGAAGGGGCAGATATGTAGCCATCTTTGCTGTGTGATGAAACAACAGCAGTAACTATTTCCTGAGCGTCTTTTATGGCCCAGGAGCCATCCATCTCTGCTGTGACCCATCCATCTCTGCTATGACCCAGTAGACATTGTGATCCCCTCTGCAAGTGAGACAGTGGAGCCCCAAGGACATTAAAGTATTGTACCCAAGGTATAACAAAACTGGGGTGCAAACAAAACAGTTCTCTTGGCTGGGTGTGATAGCACATGCCTGTAACCCCAGCACTCAGGAGGTTGAGCCAGTGAGTTCAAGGCCAGCCTGAACTATATAGCAAGACCCTGCCTCCAAACAAACAAACAAACAAACAAATCCAAAGAAACAAAAAACAGTTCTTTGACTTGGACAGCAGCGTTCTTTTTGCTAAGCCATCTGCTTCTCTCATATATTTATATATCTGTCTGTTAAAGAATATGAAAAACTATTGGATAGCCCATGTCTAGTCATCAGGGTAATAAAAGAAAAAGGAAAAAGATAGGATGAATTGGGGAACTTCTGTATCACCACCACACCCTTCCTATTTTGGGACACCTGTGAAGGCAATTCATGGAGTTCATGACCAGTTGGCATTCTTGACATAGAAAGGAAGTTTTACTTCTAGGATGATACATATGCCTATGGCTTTCCACCTAATATAAGAGTTACTAAGTGGCCAATAGATTACAGTCATTATATTTCCCCAAGTGTCAGAAGCTTTACACACAGATATTTATGGGTTACAAATGTCTCTCACCTGTCTGTGTTTGTTTCAGTTGCAATTTTAAATCAGCAACCTGAATAGTCAACCTCTTTATAGAAGAATCATAATCTAATAGCTGGGCCTTTAGCTGTGTAGAATGTTCAATCTGAAAAGATGCAGAAAAGAAAAACAACTCAATGTAAAACAAATCATAGCTTTCTTCAAAAGGTGAAACTGTCTCGGGTCTATCCTCTTTTTCTGTCTTGCCAATTCTGAGAAGTAATCAATGGATCTCTATTTAAAAAAACAAGAAACAGAACACAAAGACAGATTTTTCACTACCTTTTTCATTCATATCAAACAACAGCTCCTTTTGGGCATGTAGGCAGAAATCAGAAAGAGACAGTGAATATTTGTAGGTCTCAGAAGGAGCAGCAGAGACTAACAAGGGTAGTATCAGGCACTCACAAAATTATATGTTTAGATGAGTTTGCTTTTCTTTCAATTTTATTACTATTATGTATATAAAGTAAAATAATCAGTAGAGAATTTTCTCAGATGAGAAAGGATCCTTTAGCATATTTAGGGGAGTCTTCTTTGATGGTAAAATAGACATGATTTGTGCTGGCGTGACTTGTGCCAAGTTCATGCAACTGCAGGTGGCCTGGCATAATACAAGTGCAAGTACAGAGCAATACTCACTTCATTCTGCAGTTGTTTTTGCAGAACTTGCCTTTGAGTTTCAAACTCCCTATGCTCAAATGTGATGGTATTTTCTGCTTTCTTTAATTCTTTCTGAAAAACTAGAAGTTCAGGAGCCGGCTGGGCCATGCCTAAGAAGGCAGAAGAAAAATCTTGGTTATTGCCAACCTTAAACAAGTCTGGTATTATTTAACAAAAGCAGCTAGAGTTTATTAGTTTCCTTTCTTTGTACTCCTGCAATTAATATTTTATCAATTCTACTAATCGAATTAAAGGCAATCCCAATTCACAAGTTTCAGAACAAAAGAATTTAATGCACATTAATGTACTCCTTGCTACACTTGGAGTCCTATTCCAAGTAAAAGAACTTTCAAATCCTCAAATTATCTCAAAGCCTGCCTCTCTCCTCTCCCACACAGAAGGCCTAGGCGGGGCTCTCCTGTCATCTACCCGTGGATGACTCTGAGGTCTCATCTGATCTGAGCAGTGATGGTGACAGGCAGAGTGGATGGTGCCCTCAGTTCGGGTCACTTGAGACCCTTTAATAAAGGGTATCACATGGCAAGCTAACTACAAAGGATCACATAGTTTCCCAGGCCAGAAATGAAGCCAGGCTGTTAGCACCCCTCGGGCCTGACATGTGAAGGGAGGGAGACATTCCTAAAAGTGGGGAGACTGAGCGGGCATGGTGCAGAGTGCTGGTGACAGGGCACCAGCAGGTACTGTGGCGTCAGTTGCTTGAGAGGTACAGTGGTCCAGGGTTGCTGGACATGGAGGTGGGGTGACAGTGACAACCATCTCAACCTCCTCTCTCTGCCTCCTCCAGGTGCTTGCTGGAGCTCCTACTGGCCAAACCCTAGCAGGTGTATGAGGGCAAGGTGAGCCCTGATACTCCCTACAGAGCAGCACAGCTTGAAGGTGGACCTTCTTCCGATGATATTGTTAATTATGCAAAACAATTTCAGTGCAAGAATCTTAAGCCTCAATCACAAGTACAAAGCATGGTTTTATAACAGTGACTTAATATGAGTTATGGAAACATTCATATTAGAAAAAAAGAAGACATACGGTTTAGGAGACGCAAGTTTTCACTTCTACTGTCTTCCAGTTGTTGTCGAAGTAATTTATTTTGTGCCTGAAGCTCCAGTTTCTCTTCTTTCAATTGTGAATAATCATTCATCTCTTTAACCCTTTCATTCAGCAAGTGGTTCTGTTTCATCACTGTCACAAGCTCTGCTTTGATGGACTCTAACTCGAGCTGAAAGAGAGAGAGAGGAAAACTTCCCTGTGAATCATGACATGACAGTACTGAAGACGCAGAAGCTGGGCGGCTGCTTTATGCTGAACAGGAACTTCCTGATGGTCACTGGACAGAGGTCCGGTTCTTTGCAACCACAGACACTAACTACCATACGATAAGCAAAGTCATCTGTGCTGGAAATGGCAGGGGACACTCATAACCTGCACCTATGGACTCCTGTCCTATGCAGTGAGTACTTCTGATAAAAGCAATTGTTCCATTTTCCAAATGCAAGCAGGAGCCAATTAACAGTCACACACTGTAGCGATATATTTTTCAAAACAGGAAAAGGTGAGATAGACATAATCCCTACCCTGCTGTGAAGTGCTTTCTTTTTCTTGGTATAATATATCTCATATTTGGATACCAAAGCCTATAAGGTTCTCAAATAAGTCATCATGGTTGAAAACGTACATTTTGCTTACAGATACATATTTTCAGTATTTAAAGTTCTGGCTCTATTCTTCACAAAGCAAGCACAGTTATGAACAGAATAGCAGCATGTCTCACTTTGTAAGATCATGCTGTGACAATACCAGGTTTTCCCTGCTGTTGATGGTATAGGAGAAGAGGCTGAGGCAGAAGCTTATATTTATTGGCCATCTGCTATGGGCTGGGCATGTAAGTCAGCTTGCTCACTTCCCTAAAACCATATGATAGTAGGAAATATCCCTGCAGATCAGAAGTCTGAGCTCACAGAACTCACCCAGAAGCACACAAGCAGTAAGGGAGAGACAGCACTCTAGGACCGAAAGCTCTTCCTCCACTGAAATTAAGAACTACTAAATTAACTTTGACCATCAACTTCTTAAGTCAGGGAATAATCAGTCCAAACATATCAAAGGGATAACTTTAGCTAAACTGTGCTTAACTAAATAAAACTAGAATTCCACGCATTGCTTAAATTCTATTTTAAAAAATAGGCTTAACAGTTACCTCAAGTTCCTTCACACGATTTGCAGACTGACTGAGTTTTTCCTTTTTTGAATTAACAGCTATGAGCTCCTCTTGCAAATGAATAGCTCTTGCTGAAACAAAGAACCCACAATTAAATGTTTTCCAAGTGAATGCAAATTTATTAATTTCTGGCAAGTATGCCAAACTTCATGATTATTTCATAATCTAAAACAGCAGATGTAGGAGCTAAATATTTAGCAGGCAAGTAAGATGTAAACCTTACTATCAAATGGCGACGTGATGTTAGTGCTGTCAAATGTGTGGTGAAGCTGTTCCTGCTACAGTTGAACCTGTTACATACAGCACACAGCCCTATGCTGGCAGTCTCATTTCCTCTCAGAAAAGGCCCCGTCAGGATTTTGTAGTTTTCACTCTAACACAAGTCTATGTAGAGCTGTCATCAAAAGATAATTTGCTAATAAATACATGACTGTACTAATCCACAAAAGTACAGTAGTAAAGGAGCTACTATACTTTGGGAATATTGAGGTACCCAGCTCTGATTTACTCCGAGCATCCGTGTGAAATTTCCACCAAAAGTTCAACTTCTTGTTACAGGCAATTTTCAATTATATTAAAATGTAAAATATCTTTACTGGAACTTAGCCAAAAGGCTGAGAAATGATGAAATGTAAAAATATCTGGAGATTGAAAAATTACTCAACTTTCACAGTCTCGGGTCAATGTGTATGAGAGCTTAGGACCTTATATGTCAAGTTAAAATACCACAAAGCATAAAAACACATTAGAAGCAAAAGATTCAGTCACAGAGGACAAAGAAGTTAAAATGTAATTTCCCATAAGTAAAAATTAAAGTCTTGGATCGGGGATTTGCCTCAGTGGTTCCGCTGCCTGCCTTGCAAGCACAAGGACCTGAGTTCGATCCCCAGTACAAAAAAAAAAAAAATTAAAGTCTTGCCAAGCATGGTGGCACATGCCTGTGATGCCAGTACTCAGGAAGCTGAGGCAGGAGGATTGCTGCATTTTCGAGACCAGCCTGAGCTGCATAGTGAGTTCAAGGCCAGCCTGAAATGCATAGTAAGACTATGTCTCCAAAAAACCAACAAAACAAAACAAAAAAACTAACATGTTTCACGGTTAACAGTATTTACCAGATAGCAATAATATGTTACCCCTTTCTTGATAACCACAGATGTATCTATCAAAATACAATGAAAAGAAGTTGGATAAATTACTGATGATAAATCATTTGGCCTTTGTGTATATACAAGATGTTAAACATGAAGTTTTCCTTTTAAAGACAATTTTTTAAACTTTGTAAAATTAAAATTATAAGACATGTAATTCTAGAGTAAAAATGAAGTGTAAGCTAAATTTTCTAGAATACAGAATAGATCTGATTTAGGAAGCTAGTAAGTTACTTCAGGACTGAAAAGTACAGCTCCCCAGCCTTGATCACCTTTATTCTTCCTTTCATCTTCAATCAGCCTATTAGTTCGAGCGATGTAGTCATCCTTCAGTTCAAGCTGATACCTGAGAATCAAAATGACTAAAAATGAGTTCCTTGTCCTCTTGCTGGAAGAGCTGCTATCATTGCAGGAGTTATCTATGGCACACAGAACAGAAGGCCTGAACATGACAATGTGCAAACTTCAGCCTCTCAGCACTAAAGCCAGGAACCTGAATTCTCAACATAAAATGTCTGAGAAAACTCTTTGCCTGCCTTGATCTTATAAATCAGGACCTAGAAGTCAATTGCACAAAATGAAGGGTGTTACCTTGAGGTTACCAAAAGCAATTCCCTTTCAGTTGGCCTGGAATGACAGACAGCAAAGAAATAAAACTAAGCTAAACTTAACACAGTACACAACAGACCTTACATCCCCAAGGCAAACACTGGCCCCACCTCCCCACCTCCAACCAAGAGAACAACTTTTGCCCTTAGAGTCTGAGTATGGTATCGACTGAGGCATTCTGCCCAGCTCAGTCACACCAAAAGGCACATTTTCATGGAGTTTTACTTATCTTCACTAGTTATGACTTGCTGCTCTCCTGGTTCAAGAATGGGAAAAAAGAAAGACAAACCCTTGGGTTGTGAGTACTGTCCAAGTTCTCACCCTTGCCAAGGTCATAAAGGGTCTCCCAGGCCATGGAAGGTGTCAAAATGATACCAAACAGTTTACTGTCTTCACCACTAAATAAAACATATACACGTTTACTCATTCATTCCTAAAGGGTTAGCACCTACAGGTACTTTGGTGTTTCCTACCTTAGTAAAAGAGCAGAACATAAAATACGTGGAGAAAATGTATCATTTCCAAACTGATAGTCAGAAAGCTACTGTTTTCTTTTTTAACACAATTCACTTAAGGAATAACCTCAAGAAGTCTTCTGAAGTACTACAGACTGGATAATCAATGACAAATTATAGACAAGACAGTAGAAAAGCCAATGATTATGAAATGCCCGGAGCAGCTGAGTTGAGCCATCTCATTAAACATTTATTTAACCAATATTAACTAGACAATTATTTACTGCTATAAGCATTGCCACCACTAAGAAAAGCTACCATATGGTGTAATGTCCTTGCAGTGAGATATTCCCCTGGTACACAAAACTCAGACTATAAAAAAGCCAAAGTAACTGTTGCTGTCCAAATTTTCCTTTCCATTATATCACCTGCTTCATGTATTAATTTTAGTTCATTTCTTCTGATTCTGGCTTTGAAGAATCTTGACTAGAAAGCACACATTCATGGACAAATACTATAACCTCTAAGGAGAATAATTATTATAAATTGTTAGAGATCACCATGCTAGTGACAGTCTGAGTGGAGTAGAGGAAAAGATAATCAGAAGAAGTGACTATAATGCCAATTCTACCACTCATGAGATATCTACGTTGAGCGAGTCATACGGTGTCCTCAAAAGTAAAGTAAATCACAGGCTCTCAGAAACTGTGGGGATGCTATGGGAAAGAGGGAAAGATAATTCTCCATACTGTTATGTTTTACAACTACACCTCAAAATACTAATGGGAAAGGACTATCAAATAGGTATTTTTTTCAAACACTAAATTTTGCCATAAAGTGTTATCTATCCCATTAGTTTTTGTCCCATTTCTACCAACTTGATTCAAGCATATTACTTCCTTAGGGGACCAAGAGATGGACGGAAGGGAGGACAAGGGGACGTAAAAAGACTTAAGATGTGTTATGTACACATATCACCTTCCCACAAGGAATGTAATCATTATGTATTGCAATCACACACAAAGAATTTTTTTTCAAAAGCCAAACAATTACTTTAGAAGTTCATTCTTGAGCTTTTGGTCATAGGTCTCCTCAATATTCTTTATATTCTGCTCCCGTCTTCTAAGTGCCTCTGCCACACTTTTATTTTTTTCTTCTTGGAGCTTTTGGGACCTGAAATTAACAAAAATAAACTGTTACTATCTTAGGCACAGAACTGAAGGAAAAAAATATGACATTTTCATACCGGTTGTGTGAACATCACCTACTGGAAAGTAAAAGGAAAGAGCCAGAAGTCCTCTCTCTGCTTTACAAACTGACCTAGTTACAGTGTATCTAATATAGCTGAGGGAGCTAGATAGTAGCAGGAGAGACTTAAAACCAAAATAATTTCTCATTTTAACCAATTTAACGGTGGAAAAATGATTAGTTACAAAGTCACAAAAGTTAGGGTCCTTATGTGCTCGTCTCCTCTATAATACTGATTCTAACTGGTGTATCTAAGCCATCAATCAGTACATTGATAATAAGGGCAGAAGGTTTGTTTTTATTATTTAATGATCTATTGGTTGAATATAGATAGAAAAGTGTCAAAAGAAAGCAAAAGTTAGAAGACTGATCAGGGCTTTCAAATGCCAGTCATCTCCTTACTATATAGGTACTCAACATGTCTTCCTAAGTTTTGTAAACTGTTCACATTTTTCTTAGTATATGTTTGTAGTACATAATTACATCCACCATGGAGAGTTGGTCCACGTACAGAACACATCTTAATTCTTTTACTGCATTTTTCCCTCCCCTTCCTTCCATCTCTTGGTCCCCTTCCCATTTGCAAAAGATCTATCTGTTCCTATCAGATCAACAGTAAAGCCCATTCTTGAGCAGAGGGTGGATTCACAGGTGCTGCTTAGATGAAGCCATCCTGAGATGAACTACAGAACTCTGCAGTCCCGCAACAGAGTAAAGGCTCCATGTGTTTGCTCCCTCTGCTGGCTAATCTGGAAGGCACATTTATTCCACTTCTATGCTCAGGAGGCAAGAGCAGCAGAGGAAGTGGAAGTAAAGAAGTGATTATATAGCCATGAATTCTCTCTGCCCAAAGTTTGCTCCTTTCCCTCTCTCGCTCAATTTGCTTCTTCATACTGTCAAAGAGAGTAATGTAGACACAGAGGAAAAAATCAAATGAATTGAACCTACAGAAGTGAGAAAACAATGAAGACAGAGACAATTTCTTTAATGTACTAAGGCTCCTAGAATATCTATGAGTGTTAATAGCAGGAACCAAATGGGAAAGAAGGCTTATAACACAAACTATAGATGGGTTAGCTTCCTATCAATCTCAACTAAAATTTGAAAGATGAAACACTGTGAGCACTTAGAAAAAGTGAGCAGTACACACTCTGAGAAATATTTTCACTCATCACAAGATAAGTCAGAGTACCACATTTCATTCTTACAGCACACAGCAGTTGTAAATGGGGCAAGCCTGGATATGTGGAATTCACTTATGCACATGAAACTATTGGATCTGAATGACTTAGGGTAACTACAAAACAGATGATTTGTTCAACCTTCTCTCAATTATTTGTCTGGTCTTACTGTGCCTAATGATGATGCTGCATTTGGGTTTTCATCTTAATTTATAATATTTCACAAGCAAAATCCATTTGTATTTCTCTTAACTTGTACTTTTCTAAAGCTAAGTGATATCAGCTTTACAACCAAGAATTTTTACTTGGCAACTGACATTTGGATATTTAGACATATATTTAGCAAATCTTTTTCACCTCATTCTGAGTATTCAAAACAAACACACATTACTTACAATTCAAAAGCTTCGACTCTTTGCTTCAGGTCTGCTTCTCTGCCTCTTAGCAAATCTATATCTTTTAGTAGAAGCTGCCTTTGAGTATAGATTTCTTTTGTTTCAGTCTGTATAGGAGAGCATTGACTTTTAGCAAGCAAGATAAAATAAAAGATTGGAACTCATAAGTTGCTTCCTAAATTTCAAAAAAAAAAACCGAAAGTACAGATATTCAGGGTAACACTTTCATCTTCAAGAAATTTCAATTTGAAACATGCTTTTGGTCTATTTTAGTTGCATAAAAATTTACTTCCTTGCACAAAAAATTATTCCAATGTCTATTAACATTATTACCCTACATTCGTAACATCCCATCTAATTACTCTATTTAGTTAACATCTCTCAGTCTCTTAAAATTTTGATAAGTTCATCAGCAAAAAATTAAAATGTGTATTCAGCAATGAAACTCCAAAAGAAAAGAATCTCCATGGTGATTTCATGGTGACGGTGGTAGTGATGGTAGTGATGGTGGTGATGGTAGTGATGGTGGTGATGGTGGTGATGGTGGTGATGATGATGGTTGTGATGATGGTTGTGGTGGTGGTGGTGGTGGTGGTGGTGGGTGAATATTTCAGTTCATAGGTTACTCTGGTTCAGCACAAGCAAGCTTATATCAACTCCAGAATGAACAGGCCATCCTTCTACTTAGGAGTTCACTGAGCAAGGAATTATTAGCTACTTATTACATGTCATGCCACAGACTGGGAGCTGGATATAAAAAGGTAGATATAATTCCTATCTTTCAGGTTCGCCATTTGGTCAGGAAGAGTGAAACAAATAACTGTGCTGAGATATAAGGATTTCATAAGCAAGTACATAAAGACTGCTCACAGGAACAAAAGTTAATCACTCAGTGGGAGTCAGAGAACACATCCCTGAGGTGACATGCAAGCCAAATCCCTGAAGGCCAGTATGGTGTTTTCAGGGGGACAGAGGAGTACATGGGCATTCCAGGTGAAGGAATGGAGGCATGTTGCTTCCGATGAGGATGCCAATCCTTTTCAATGCCTTCAGAAAATGTTCAGTCACCCATTGTAGAAACGAACTTGTTAGCCTATACACAATCCAGTTATCTCAAAGATCTGTGTGTATTTTTATAGAGGGGATCCATCTGCCATGAAATATGGTGGTCTTGAGAAGCCCTAGGCATGAGTGGATATTAGGGGAGGCCTCCAACCTCCACATCCCCTGACAACAGTAGCTCTGGGTGCACACAGGAAACAGTGATCAGAGCGGGAAGAAACCACCTGTGAACACAGGCTTCAGACCACTTCTCAGCATCTCCACTGCGCGTGCAGTTGCTCCAAGGCGATGAGACCATAGGGCCACATGGACCACCCTCCCAGCCCTGGACTCCACTACTCCTCACTTTCGCTCCCTTCTGCAGCTTTCCCCTGACTGCTCCTGCACTGTGTCCAGTCTCTACCTGAAACCTCACCCCAAGACTCTGAATGCTTGGCCTATCCTTACCCTTCCACCTGCCAGTCTCTCTGAACCTATTCCTTGATCACTTCAAGCCTGCCCTGCGGCTATCCCTTATCTCGTTCTCCTCAGGTCAAGGAGCCCACCACCTTCTCCTCTGCTTCCAGCCCTCCCTTCACCACCTAGTAGAGCACCAAGGTCTTCAATTCAATAGCTGCCTTTCTTCAGTCAAGGACATCAAGCTCTGTAAAGTTCTGCTCCCCAACCACCTCTACCTTTCCACCTTCCCGAAAGGACAGAAAGATAAAGGGCACACAAACCACCAATCCTCCAGACCTGAGAAAGAGAGAGACAACTTGCCTCCAAGCATGTGGTCTGCTCTCTCACTTCCAGCCTCCAGTCTCAGCTGGGCCCTCAACCCTGCCTACCAGTCCTCTCTACATGAATGAACTGTTCGCCACTTGCCCACAGCAACAGATCTCCACTCTGAGCCTTTCCCCACACCCCACCAAACCCACCAAGTACCCAAGAAGATGGTATTCATTCAGTGTGTGTGTCTCTAATCTCACTGTGGACATTCACCCCACACTGTCTCCAGCCCGCCATCTCCGAGAAGGTCTTTCAGCCTTATCCAGGCCCATCCTTCTATCTACATCTGGGCCCCACCTGGGCTGCTCCTCCAAAGCCCTGTTTCATCAAGGGTCCCTCCCCTTGCCTGGATCCTGAACCAAGCTACCAACAGGTACAGGAACAAGCCACCCATTAAATTATTTTCAAATATTACCTCCTGATGCTTCTGAATTCTTTCAAGAGTATTCTTTTCCTGAGAAATGAGGGCTTCAGTTTTTGCTTTGTAAGTTCTCTCAAACTCGTGCCGGAACTCTGCTAATTCCTTCTCATACTTTCTTTTCTCTTCCATTTTAATTTTTGCTATTTCGGTATCTTTAAAATGCTTCAACTAAAAATTGAAAGTATGGTTACTATAGTAAAGAAACAGTAACAAATTCTCTTCATGGTTAGGTTTAATGTGAATGCTCTGTCCAAATACATCATATTTAGTTTAATTCATCTTTAGTTTTATTCCATTCACTGTACCTCTAGGATTCAACCAAAGACAAGAATAAATGATATCAATTGGAAATTAAAACATGTAACAGTACAGTATCCATTCTTTAAGAAAGGCTTTATGTGTTTTCCCATATACCTAAAATCAAGACACTGTATTAGAAGAGAAGTGAAAGTATCACTCTTGTTAACATCAACAAGAGATACAGCTTACCTTTTGATACATTTCTGCTTGGAGTTGTTGTTCTAGTTCACTCCTGTATTCATTTAACTTTACTTCTAAAGACTCTAGCTTTGGACGCTGGGGATAAGCATCTGCAAATTGGTCATCAATAAGCTGAAACTTCTCCACTATTAAAAATAACACATAGAATCAGGACATGTAAACCTGGTCAGGTATGTAAGAGGCCAAAAGCAAAGAGTATGCTTGGAGAAAGCTGTAGAGATATCTGCCATTTACTTTGAAATATATCAAATGAGATGGATTAATGAATGGGAAGATAAGGGATGAAGCCAATACAATATGAATTTCATGGTGACCTTAGGCATGCAAGTATTCACTGTAAGAACTCTTCTGTATGTTTGAAAATGTTAATAAAATGTTGTTGGGGGAAATCAAAGAGTACAATTTAAATCAGAAATGACTGGATTCTCTTCCCAGTCTCTAAGTGCCAAGGCACAGAGCTCTTTAAACTTGACATTCAGATTCAAAACAACAATTTTAAAAGAAACCAAGGATCAGGTATCCTAAGCTCTCCATTTCTAGACAAGGACCAAAATGACTTCTAGAGGATAAAGAAACTACAGTACAACTGGGATTAACAGGAAGCCTGTTGACACTCAAGCCAGCACTCTTTCCAGGAGGCCTGTGCCCTTCAAACCAACTATGGGCCAGAGCAGAGTGCAAATCCGACTTGAGAGAACAATCACAACCATGTACGACACCAATACCAAGAAAAGTACGCACAGGGTATGGCAGGCTGGCAGAAGCAGACTAACGCAGCAAAAGTTTCTCTCCTATAGGAGTCACTTTAGACATATACTTCTAGCTACTTTTTTGTATTTTCTAAATGTTCTATACCTGTGCAGTCCAACACAGGACTTTTAGACTCATGTGCCCTCTGAGTACTTAAAATGTGACCAATCCAAACTGAGATGTGCTAAGTGTAAAAATCACACCAAATTTCAATTTTGGTACAAAAACTAAATGAAGTATCTCATTAATATTTTCATACTGAGTACATGTTGAAATATTTTAGATATACTGGGTTAAATAAAACATTATTAAAAAGAACTTCCCCTGTTTCTTTTTTTACTTTTTTTGGTGTAGCTTCTAGCGATCTAAAATGACATATTGTTAGCATTATTGGACAGCACTGATTTATAATAAATGTGGAATATATTTCTAATGGAATTAAACCTATACTCAAAGGCCAAGTCATACATTACAATTTTTTAAAATGATGAATTTTTTCTCTTCATACAAGCTAAAGGCACTATTATTATTTACAAATAAGGACAAGCAAACAAGCTGATTAGCCACATCAGTTTAAACAGCTCTTTTCCATCTCTACTGAGCATAAAATGCATGGTATTATAGAAATGCTGCGTAGTTTAAAATAAAACAACTCTTACTTCACGGGCCAGAAAACTCAGGCTCTAATATTAGTTCTGAGCTAGACTGGGTGTTTCCAAGTTGTTCTTCCTCTGAACCTCAGTTTCCTCAACTATAAAGTGAAGAGATGGGCCAAGGACTTCTGTAGCTCTTTGCAGAGCAGTCTATGATATTCTACCTTAACAGCTATAAAATAAAGTTTGACAAGACACCAGGCAGAAAAGAAGTTAAACTCAGCAAGCCAGAAAGAATGCAGACCTTAGAACACCTGCATGAGGTGGCCAGTGTAACCCTAGCAAGGATGGGGAACAACACTGGAGAACAATTCCTGGAGAAGTGAATATCCTTATCCCTTGACAGGCTGCTTATCTAGTCAGAGAAACAACCATGACAAATAAGGCAATCTCCTCCATTCAAAAAGAAACGAGTAGAACTGAAATTAAGGAAAAAGGCTAGAGTTTTAATTACCAATTGAATTCTTGCTAGGAAATGTTGAACTTGTCTGAGTTCCCACATCACAGTTCTCTTTAGCTTGATGATATTCTGCCAATTCTTTTAAGAAATTCATAAGGAAACCTAAAAAATACAATGTACATAGTTTTGTTTTAGAACTTCATTCAACCCTTTCTCAGTTACTATTTTTACAATCTTGCTTTTATGACATTATCATTTTTTACGTTAAGAATAATTCCTAAGGAAAGGCCATTCCAAGCATGATACAAAACCTAGAAGAAATAAGGAGATTTATCAATCTAACTACACAAAAATTAAAAACTTACATATGGGATGAAATAAAATCAAAAGACAAACGACACATTTGAAAAACTACCTGCAAAACTACAGAGACCAAGGGTTAATTGTCATAATATCAAAGAGATCTCTTAAAGCGAAACAGGAGAAGACAAGGACAGTTTGCAGGAAAAAAATTTGAATGTCAAATAAATTCGAAAAACATTTTAAAATGTTGAATATGAACAAAATAATAAATAAAAGAAAATTAATACCAAAAAGGGAAACTGTATTTTTCTCTATACCATTGCTGAAAATAAAACTTTGGTAATAGTTAAGCTTTGGTGCAGGAGCGGGATATACTCATTACTTAGAAGGGACGTCTGTGAGTATTTGTATATGTTGAAGGTGCACATGTCCTTCATCCCAGTCATTCTATGCCTGTGAATTTACACAGCTGCCCTTACTTTCACAGGGGCACAAAGAATGCAAGCTACAGTGATCACCTCTAATAAAAAGCAAATCAAACAACTATATCTCCATGAACAGTAGGTTAAAAATATTCTTTAAAAATAATCAGTCTTTGGCAAATGGGAAGGGAAGAAATGGAGGGAGGGGCTGAGGGGAAGGGGCATAAAGAATTAACATGTGTTTTGACCAACTCCCCACAATGAACATAATCTTTATGTACTGCAAAAACGTAGTAATAATTTTAATCTTAAAAAATGAAATAGTCTAGCCACCACAGAAAGAGTTGAAAAGACTCCTGTTTCTGCATCAGCCAAGTTACATGTCTTTTTTCTCTTTTCAGCTGAAGATTTCAAAACTCTTTCCAACAATTTTGGCTTCCTAACATAGGGAGAATCACACAGAAACCTCACATCTGCCCTTGGGAAGAAGTCACTCCTCTGTCACATCACATGTAAGCTACACGATGATGAGTCAGGAGCAGCTGCACGCAATGTGCAAAGTGCCCCAATAGAATATTCCTAATCAGAACGGTTTCTCCCCAGAAATTTCACATCAGTTGTTTCTCTGGAGATAACTGTGTTTTTCTCTACATAGTATGTGTAAGGTTTTTAAGTTTTTTAAATCTTATGACACAAAAGTTTAAGGACATACCTATGTTCACTGATTTTGTTTTCCTAAATCCAAGACTTCCCCTTCTAACCCAAAAATATCTTTATCTCAGGAAAGCTTTCTTCCACTAAAAAAATACTGACTGATCATCAGAGATGTACTCCTCCACCTAAGTGTGTCTAATACTATCCCACGTCCTCAGTTTTGTGGTCTGAACTTTTCTCAGCCCCTAAGAAGTCCCGTTATCTTGTCTTATCCACCTCTGTGGGGGATTCACCTACCCTCTTCAATTTACTAATTTAATCATTTACTTACACCAGCAGTGGACTCACAGTTGTTTATTTTATATTTGGGGTTACAATATGTACTTTTATTTAGATTAGCCAATATTTTATTTTGTTGTACCAATTTGTTCCAGCTTTGGGAGCGCTTTTTTTGTGGAATTTAAGCACTTCCTTACGCTCTGGCATTACAAGATGCTACAAGTTCATCTTGTATATTTTCTGCTCCAATTGCCATTTCTCCAAGGAGCTCTGGTTCCTTTTACTATAGAATGGCAATAGAAACACAGGCTCCCCCAAAATGGACACTAATGCACTCACTGTTACTGGAGTTTCTCCTTCTAGGGCCCTATCAGGTAACAGAGCAAGGAAATAAATACACATATACAGTACTAACCTGTGTGTATACACATACAATAATGCTTCGCTTCATGAACACTTCTAAGTGCAAACAATTTGGTTCACAAGCAAAAGCATTCAGCAAAATTTTGCTCTCATTTGCAAACTCTACAGTAGATGACAAACACAACTACAGCTATCTTCCTCAAAATCGTAGAACAAATTAAATTCGTAAACCAAGGTACCACTATATCTATAGATACTTCTATGTATAGCTTCTATGTTAGGCTAAATGTGAATTCATAATGATAATCTTCAAGTAATTTTTTACCACATGGACCACTCTAGCCTCCTCCCTTGTTTATCTGTAAATTCCCATTCAAACAGTAAGGAAGCTAGCTCCTACCATCTACTACCCACCAACTTAATTTTCAATTCCAGCACACATGTATAATGGCTTCGTGACTGGGAGCCAGTCTTACTTAGCTTGGTACCCTCACACACACCTCTCAACCTGAGGATATTATCATTACATTGTTTTGTCATAGTCTGCATTCCATCCTAGGGTCACCAGCCTACTATATCTGCATTAAGGTTTGCTTCATGCTGTAAAGTTTCAGGTTTTGATGGGTGGATAGTGTCATGTATCCAACACTGCAGTATCATACCAGACACTTCCACCATCCTAAAAATCCCGTGCTTCACTTTCAACCTCCCCACATCTTTCCTCCAAATCCCTGGGAACCATTTATAGTTCCTATATATAGTTCAACCATTTCTACAATGTCAAATAAATACAATCATATAATGCATAGTGTTCTCGGACAGATTTACTTTGTTAACAATATATATTTAATATTTATTTATATTTTTAGATAGCTTAGTAGAGGATTCCTAAGAGATAAATAATGTTATCTTGTATGGATAGTCCATAGCTTGGTTGTCCATTCACCTACTAAAGGATATCTTGGTTGCTCCCAGTTTATGGCAATTCCAAATACAGCTGCTGTATGCACTCACAAGGAGGCGTCTGTGTGGACATGAGGTTTTTTCTCTTAAGTTTTATTTATTTTTTTTCTTTTTATTGAGTTTATTGGTACATTCTAGGTATACAGTACAGTTACATTCATTACTGGGATCTTGTACCCTTTACATGACAGGTCTTGGTTCTCATCTTTTCCCCTTGCCCTCCCTTCACCCCCTCCTCCCCTCCCCATTTACAAACACTTTATTTCCATTTTTTCTTTTTCTCATATTCTCTTCTTTCCCCTTATTTCCTTTCCCCTACCCTTCCCACTTTCCCTACACCTTTAGCCCTTTTCTTCCTATTTCACATTGTTAATTACCCCATTAGGATCTTGTATACCATTATAGTTTTTCATACCAGAGAAACTATTCGGTATTTACACGTGTGTGACTTTTTTATTTCACTCAGGAGTATACCCGAATGGACATGAGTTTTTAAGTCAGTCATGTAAACACATAAGACCCTAACTGCTGGGTCTTAAGGTACGACTACATTTACCTTTTAAGGAACTACCAAACGGTCTCTCAAGTGATTGTGAACTCCCACCAGCAGCAAATGAGAGCTGGTTTTGCTTCATATCCTTGCATTTATTGTTGTCACTATTTTGGATGTTAGCCATTCTAAAAGGTATGTAGTAGCATCTCCTTGCTTTAATTTTTATTTCCGTAATGACTGAAGATCTCGAGCATCTTTTCATAAGCTTATTAGCTACCTGTACATACATATACATATAT